TGTGTGTGTGTGGCCAGCTCAGCCCACCAGGGGGCGGGGCTGGCTGGCATGTGGTGCTGGGGGATTGAACCGCGGTCCCTGTGTTCTGCCAAGCTTGTTCTAAGTAGGTGCTTTAGACCACTGAGCCATCTCACCAGCCCTTGGTTGCATTTTAAAGTATACTATAGCTTTATTTATGGTGAATCACTTATGAATTTATTAAATTTGAATATTTGTTTTGTGCTGGTAAAATTGTACGATGCTTTAGAATTGATAGCCTGAACTATGTTCCCTTACTTACTTTATGTACTTTAAATTTGTCCCCCTTTTATGCTGCAGGGGATTGAACCTATGGCTTTGTGCATATTAGGCAAATCCTGTACCACTGAGGCACATCCTAGCGTTTGCTTTTTGTTTTGTCCTTTTCAGAATCTGCTTGATGATGTGGAAGAGTTCCACGAGCGAGCTCAGGAGGCAATGATGGATGAAACCCCGGATTCTTCCAAGCTCCAGATGTTGATAGACATGGGTTGTAGTCTGTATGTGGAGCTACCTGAATTACCTCGACTGAAGCAAGAGTTACAGCAGGCTCGATGGTTGGATGAAGTAAGACTGACCCTCTCAGATCCACAGCAAGTCACTTTGGATATCATGAAAAAACTGATTGACTCTGGGGTAGGGTTGGCACCCCACCATGCTGTGGAGAAAGCAATGGCTGAGCTGCAGGAGCTCCTTACAGTCTCTGAACGATGGGAAGAAAAGGCTAAGGTCTGCCTACAGGCAAGGTGAACACATATTTTGGTGACTGTTGCTTCTTTATTAACCAAGTCAGACAGCACAGTGGGGAGGAAGAACATAGAGGCCTACTCTTTAAATGTTTAATTAAATGTTTTGTCCCTTCTTGACCCATCATTAAGGTATTAAATGAAGCTACACATAATGGTTTCAGATATACACATGCTATTGTTCACAGTATGTGATAATTACCTATAGTTAGGAACTAAGTTATAAATCTCTTTTATATGTTATTAATGTTAACTGAAAGATGGGAAAATGTAGCAATTTTTGGAGGAGAAATTAGGGTATACTTGGATAGTCAGTTAAGCTTGAGAAAAATACAAGAATTTTGGGAGAGTCTTGAAGAACAAGTAGGATTAAAGAGAAGGGACAGGATAAGAGAAACTTTCTAAATCAAATCTAAGGAGTCTGTAGGTTATATTTAGCTTTTTTTTTGACCTTTTTGAGACAGGGTCTCATTATGAAGTTCAGACTGGCCTTGAGCTCACGTTGTAGCCCATGCTAGCCTCAAACTCGCAGTGATCCTCCTGCCTCAGCCCTAGTGCAGGGATTAAGGGGTGCACCACCACATCCGGCTCCAATGAACCTTTTTGAGTTAAGCAGCTGGATTAGCATTGGAACGCCATTGAACAAAGAGATTGAAGTAGTAGTGCTCATCATTTTTATTGTGTCAACTAATTTGGCTAGTAATTAACTGTTTTTTGTTAAAGCATTTCTTTATCAGCAGATACTAATATTTTCTCTTGTGAGGTATAGCTGAGGAAACTAGGGAGCTTATTTAGAGCGATTACATGTTTATGTGGCACAGATGAAATTGAGAACCTCTTTACACTTCTTCCTGAAGTCTCTTATGTGCTTAACTATTTTAACCCACTTATTTTGGATGCATTTGGTTGGAAGTGTTTTAGGTGATTTAATTAACATGGCTCTGCCTCATTAAGAGAAGTCACCATGTATGCTAAATGTTTTGTTCACCAGATACCATGCAGAAAATATATACTAAAGTTCATTAATAGCTTTTCCTACCTGAAATACACAAATTATGTTGCATCTTCAGATTTGTGAAAGTTTCCGCAAGTGTATCAAGTGCAAAAGCTAAGTGACTTTGGAATATAAAACTGTGATTTGTATACCTGATGCACCTTATCGTCATTAACAAATGAGGTGCTGGCAGTAATCTTTGAAAACTTTTCCAGATCTCCTATATTATGTCTGTCACCTCTTTTTTGTTGTTGTTGTTTGGTACAGGATCTCACTATACAGCTGGGACTCGTAGTGGTCCTCCTGTCTCAGCCTCCCCAGCACTGGGATTACAGGCCTGTGCCACCATGGCTTGTTTTGGTGGCCAGCTTGGCATGGGGTCAGATCGGCATGCGGCTGGCACTGCATGGGGCTGGCAGGCATACTGTCCTGGAATTGAACTCCAGCTCCTTGCACTTGCCAGGCAGGCGCTTAGACGGCTGAGCTATCTCTGCAGCTCCTGATATGACTTTCAAGTCTCTCTTTCAACTCTGTTTTTACATTTATTTTGTATTTTGCCTTGTTCTTTGCAGTACAGTGAGTAGTTATTACATACTAGGTACTATAGAGGCAGTAGTGAATGTAATATACAAGGTCCCTGGTCTCACAGAGCTAACATTCTAGTGAAGAGAGAGAAATAAGTAAGTGTAGGAATTTCAAATTATTAGTGTCATGAAGAAAATAAAATTGATGACTAAAGAAAGAGGGTGATGTGGTCAGAATTATCTTTCTAAAATATGTTCTTAATATTCTTGATTTCTCAGCATTTAGTCTTTACTTGCTATCTGCTTCCTTTCCTCTGGGCCTTCTCTCTGCCTTTCAAATGTTTTCTCTCAACTTTCTGGCCTAAAGCTTTTTCCCCTCTCACTGTGTTATTCTCCCTGGAAATTTTATCTAATTTCTTGCCTTCATTTACCATTTTATATTGAACAACTCCTAAATTTTCTAGATTTCTTTCACAGGTACCTTTTGCCTATTAGATAATGGCAGTCTGTGTCCCCACAGATATCCCAGATTCTCTGTCTTGTTAACTCCTTCCCATACCTGCTTCATTTCTTTGTTTTGTGAATTATATACCACCCTTCACACATATGCACAAATAAGTACTTCAGCAGTTAACTTCGACCACTTGTGTTTTCTTACGCACAAACTTAGTAATGCTGATTGTATTATTTCCTTGAGCTCCAAATTTTAAAAAAAATTGTTTATAAATGGGCTCTCTGGTCTGCCTCCCTCCCTCCTTCCCTTCTTTCCTCCTTTCCTTTCTTTCTTCCTATGGTAAGGGTCTTGCTGTTTAGTTCATGCTGGCCTAGAACTTGCTGTGTAGGCCAAGATGGTGTTATCCTCCTGCCTCTGCCTCCTGAGTGCTGGGATTGTAGGCATGAACTACCATGCCCAGATTATTTTTACTTTAATTCTTCATTAAGGACTTTCCTTTGTTATGCATAGAATTCTAGGTTAATGTTTTTTGTTTTTTATTTATTTATTTATTTATTTGTGTGTGTGTGTGTGTGTGTGTGTGGCCAGCTCAGCCCACCAGGGGGCGGGGCTGGCTGGCCTGTGGTGCTGGGGGATCGAACCGCGGTACCTGTGCTTTGCCAAGCTTGTTCTAAGTAGGTGCTTTAGACCACTGAGCCATCTCGCCAGCCCTATTTTGGAATATTTTGCTGAGTTCACACAACTATAACATTTAAATGATGGAACTAAACAAAAAAAGGGGATACAGATGAATGACCATTTTGTATCTGTA